ACCAATTTTTTTATAAACAGTTGTGGTATCTCTTCTTCTGGCCTGAGGTATTCACCTATCCTATATCGTCGCATCAACCCTTTTATATCACAATTTCTTGCTTATTTAGTTAAACCTAATTGAGGTATGCCCTTTTGACTAGATTAAATTAGATCTATTCACACTCCCCGCTGGTTCCCTCATTTATACCCCATTGTGATCCAAACTCCTTAAGACCCTTCCTTAAGGGTCTGGTTCAGTGATTTCACTCCATTGCTGCAACTCGATGAGTTATGTTCTACACTCCGCCTCGAATAGCACGGATACGGTGGCAACGATGAAGTGAAATCGCTAAACCAGGAAGATAAAGGAAAGTTCATACGAACCCTAAATCAACACTCCAAACACAATAAAGGAGGGCAATGAGAAAACCAGCAGGGAATGTGAAAAGGTCTCACTTAATCGAGCCAAAAGAGCACACCCAATTAGGTTTAAATAAAGAAGTAAGAAATTGTGATGTTGAAGTTTTGCTGATTTTGGTATGTCTGCAGCTATGTGCAAAATAAAAGAGTCAAACGAAATCAACCGACTAGGCGATACATTGAATGTAAGGAATACTGCGAAGAAAAGTTGGGTTTCGAGGAATCTCTTGTTTCATAATTGTTGAGTTTACTTCCATTTCGAGTGGAAGTGTTGGGTTAAGAGATTCGAAGGTCAGTTCCACCAGAAGACGATGGCGGATTCCTCCCGACCAGCTGTCGATTGGCTTTACTGGAAGATTCATGTTGACACTGTTTCTGAGGTAATCTTCTTCGATTCCGGTGAAAAGGTCCGTCATATGACGGACGAAAGCTTAGCACCTTCTCACCGGAATCGAAGGAGATTACCTCGAAAACAGCGTCAGCATTAATCTCCCAGTAAAGCCAATCAACAGCTGGTCGAGAGGAATCCGCCTTCGTCTTCTGGTGGAACCGACATTCGAATCTCTTCATCCAACACTTTCACTCGAAATGGAAGTAAAATCAACAACTTCAATATCACAAGCTCAGTAAGCTCAACAAGTAAGGAATACTGACAAGAAGCAAGATCTACCTATACTTAATTAATAGAGTCAATGATAGAGGTGTTGATTCGTCTGAAAAACGGAGGCAACTCAACAAGTATTTCTTTTTTAGTTCTAATTACGGTCACTTTCTGAATTTTTAGTCCTTTTTTTCTCTCTCACATTAAGACAAAAAGTTCTTAAGCTTAGCCAAACGTGTGGCCGACTTTGCACAATCGGAATATATATATATATAGAGTGATAGTGGTTATAAAACCTTAATGGTCGATATCAGACGTCACTTTTCTGTTCGAATTTTTTGCGTCCGCATTGTGAGTTTCGTGTATATACTAAGCATTCGTGATAATTCCTCTTCCTTCCTGGACTAATAAACAATCCTGTATCCTCGTAGTACCTCTTCACTATCACGATATTTTTTCCTTGCTTATTTAAATGTGGTATAGTGTGCCCTTTTGAGTGGATCTCATTAGAACTCTCCACACACCACGCTGGCTTTCTCACCCCCATTCACTCTTGTGCTGGAAATGTTGATCAGAGTCTGACATATTCTTTCGCAGTCCTCCTTCCAAAGGTCTTATAAGAGTCTCCCCTATTTAAGTATTTTACTCGACCCCTGCCACCTTTACTGTGCTACCAGAGGCGTTAATTCTGAAACCCTGCCTCTGGGAGACTAGCTTGAGGCTAAAACCCTCGAGTAATTCTCATGGTCAAGCCTTTGCTTCGCTGACAACGTCTATGAGCAAACATGTCTTCGGTTGACCAACTAGCTCTAGTCTCCGCCGCATCTATCGTGCTTCTATCCCTATTACCAAGTCTATGACTTCCTATGCTCTAGCCTCTTGTTTGCCAACCCACAAATGTTGTCGTTCTACTTATTTGATTAGGTTCAATGTAGAACCACAACATTTTTGTGTTGGCGTACAAGAGACTTAGGGACAGGATGTCATAGAGTTGGTATTATGGATAGAAAAAAGATGGACACGGGGAGACCAGAGCTAGTTTGCTAACAATAGACGTGTTTGATCATAGACGTAGTTCATGAAGAGCGTATATTGTTAGCCAATTACCTCTAATCTCCACCGCGTCTATCCTGTTTCTATCCGTAATACCGAATCTATGACTTTCTATGCTCTAGGCTCTTGTATACCAACCCACAAATGTCATGGCTCTACTTTTTTTGATTAGGCTCAATTTAGAACGAAGAGAAACTGGAAATCAATGAATCTCCTGAGATAACATTGTTGGAGAGACCTTCATTTTGTATGAAAGTGAACGAAGAAGAGATTCGTTGGTCGATCTCACCATATGAGGACGGATGAATCTCGTTGTACTGCAGCCGTTTGGCTTTTATACGATGTTCATGTTGACTTAGTCCACGAGACTTCCTCCCTCGTCACTGGTTAAAACAGGCTGAGCTTTCCTCCATCATATGATGGACGTCATGATAATAATGGAATAAATGCTGCTATGTTGATCAAAATAAGACAATAATTGAACTATATTAAAGGGATACAAACAATAAAATAGTTTAAATATTGGGTTTACACGAAAGTTTTTGGCGCTTAAATATAGAAGTAAACGAGTATATTTATTTTATGACTTCATAAAATTGCCGCACCTAGTCCGAAGTCCATTGTGTGCATGATAATTTCCAGAGTAGGACCATGGACGTGGTACGTTCCCAAACTTTTCGTCCGCATCTTAGACAGCATCGTCAGTGAGTCTTGCCATTCTTAGCACCACACTACAACTCGTCAAATAGATAAGTGAGGCCGATCCTTTGACAAATTGTCT